GGCTCCCTCGGCCAGTAAAGCGAGATGAGCACCGCAACCCCAGAGTCGTTCGCGACTGGACTTAACTGTCAGGGGTCCTTTACCTTTTTATATATAGGGTGCCTACATCCTGCATGGACTGGTTGCATGGCAACATGGGCAAATGGCTTTAGATACCTATGAGGTCCATAAATGACCATACAGTGGTACCTCGGGTTAAGTACCATATTTTTTGCACCATAACACTCACTTTTTTCCTTCTAGAAAGTAAGGGGAAATGTCTGTGCGTGTTATGGAGGAAATGCCTACAGGTGGCATGCCTACGGATTTTCCTCCTCTAAAAACTACGTGCGTGTTATGGTCGGGTGCGTGTTATAGAGCGAAAAATACGGTACTTAATTCGTTCCGGAGGTCCGTTCTTAACCTGAAACTGTTCTTATCCTGAAGCACCACTTTAGCTAATGGGGCCTCCTGCTGCCACCGCACTGCCGGAGCACGATTTCTGTTCTCATCCTGAAGCAAAGTTCTTAACCCGAGGTACTATTTCTGGGTTAGCGGAGTCTGTAACCTGAAGCGTCTGTAACCTGAAGCATATGTAACTGGAGGTACCACTGTATAGCATATATTCAACCCAAAAAACAGCGACAATTTGTTGTTGACAAAGGACAGCTGGACATACAGAGGGCCCCATTACCTTCAGTAGCTGAGGGCCTCATCAAACCTAAATCCGCCCTGGCAGTCCACCATCGTTCCTCCTTCCTTCAAGTCCCAGCTTGAACCCCACTTTGCTTAGCAATCGCCTCGCCATCTTAATCTCTTGCTGAAAGAACACTTAAACCACAGCTTTCTGTGTTTGCACATATCTGCCCTTTGCTGAACAGGCTTCTTCTTATCTCGATCGCACCTTAAATCCGTTCCAGTTTATTTATTGAAGTCCACTGAAATTTCCAAAGCTGGCATGCGCTGCTCTTCCCTGCCCCCAGGAGAAACTCCTCCCTCGCACTTTCTCATGGTGATCAAGTGTCTCTGAGAGACCTGCTGTGACTGGATCTCTCAGCTAATTTTCCTCCTGGAAAGGCAGTCGCCTAAATGTGCTAGTTCCTGCAGAGTGTTTTATTTTTATGCCCTTCTTCATTTAATCCCCCACAACAACCCTGTGAGGTAGGACAGACAGAGAGTGACACTCTTCCCTGAAGCTTTTCCTTCCTCCGCCACTTCCTTCTCTTGTCCCCTCACCCCAATATCTCTCTCCCTCTTCCTCCTTGCCCAGTGAACTTGTAAGGCGCTGGAAACTTCCCCAATGGGGAGAATGGGGCTTCTGCCCCACCAGCCTCAGCTTGCCCCCAGCTGCCTGCCTTGTTGTTGTTTAGTCGTTTAGTCGTGTCCGACTCTTCGTGACCCTCTGGACCAGAGCACGCCAGGCACTCCTGTCTTCCACTGCCTCCCGCAGTTTGGTCAAACTCATGTTTGTAGCTTCGAGAACGCTATCCAACCATCTCGTCCTCTGTCGTCCCCTTCTCCTTGGGCCCTCCATCTTTCCCAACATCAGGGTCTTTTCCAGGGAGTCGTCTCTTCTCATGAGGTGGCCAAAGTCTTGGAGCCTCAGCTTCAGGATCTGTCCTTCCAGTGAGCACTCAGGGCTGATTTCCTTCAGAATGGAGAGGTTTGATCTTCTTGCAGTCCATGGGACTCTCCAGAGTCTCCTCCAGCACCAGAATTCAAAAGCATCCATCAGCCTTCTTTATGGTCCAGCTCTCACTTCCATACATCACTACTGGGAAAACCACAGCTTTAACTATACGGACCTTTGTTGGCAAGGTGATGTCTCTACTTTGCTTCAGGATGAGAACAGAAATCGTGCTCCGGCGGCGCGGTGGCAGCAGGAGTCCCCATTAGCTAAAGTGGTGCTTCAGGTTAAGAACAGGTTAAGCTGCCTGCCTAACCTTACCTATATGCACCCCAATGATCACCTACCTGCCTGCTCCCTCCTCCTTAATAAATAATAATAAAATTTTATTTACATCCCGCCCTCCCCAGCCGAAGCCGGGCTCAGAGCGGCCAACAACAATAAAAGTAATACAGCCTCAATGATGCTGGCCTTGCGTAACTCAAGAAGGGATGAGGATGCGGGACAAAACTAGCAGTCGGTTGTCTCTGCCTGCCGTCAGCCGTGGTTGGTCTTGTCATTGGCTCTGGCTCCACCCAGTGTTGGTCTCCTGCCTTTACACCCTGCTAGAGACAGTGTGGTGTAGTGGTTAGAGGCTTCCTCAAACTCGGCCCTCCAGATGCTTTGAGACTACAGTTCCCATCATCCCTGACCACTGGTCCTGCTAGCTAGGGATCATGGGAGTTGTAGGCCGAAAACATCTGGAGAGCCGAGGCTGAGGAAGCCCGGGTTAGAGTGTCCAACTTCTTCTTCTTTGACAATCACTCGTAGCCGAGTAAGATTGTCTTCCATAAACACGGTTTTAACAATGAGTCCATAAGTGACTGTGGAGGCCAATTCTGGACCCACACGTCCTTCCACAGTGGGGACATAGGTTTCTGGGCGGGAGTTGATCATGGTGTGGATTTGCCAAGCGTGCCTTCCTCTTAGCACATTTCTTCCTTGCGTCCTGAGTTCGAGTGTCTTCAAAGCCCAGGACACCTTTGGTCAAGGCTGTTCTCAACTGGAGCGCTCAGAGGCCAGTGTTTCCCAGTTGTCGGTGTTTATGCTACTTTTTTTTAGGTTTGGCTTGAGACAGTCTTTAAACCTCTTATGTTGACCATTACGTTTAACATTTTAAAGTTGGGAATAGAGTACAGTGTTACCTCGGGTTAAGAACTTAATTCGTTCTGGAGGTCTGTTCTTAACCTGAAGCACCACTTTAGCTAATGGGGCCTCCTGCTGCTGCCATGCCGCACGATTTCTGTTCTCATCCTGAAGCAAAGTTCTTAGCCCGAGGTACTATTTCTGGGTTAGCAGAGTCTGTAACCTGAAGTGTCTGTAACCCGAGGTACCACTGTAGTTGCTTTGCAACACAAGAATGAGGCATCCGCACAACATGACCAGTCCAGCGAAGTTGATGTTGAAGAATCATCGCTTTGACGCTGGTGATCTTTGCTTCTTCCAGTACACTGGCATTTGTTCGCCTGTCTTCCCAAGTGATGTGTAAATATTTTCAGAGACGCCGTTGATGGAATCGCCCTGCTTGCCTGCTCCCTCCTCCTTGGGCTCAGTGATGCCGCCACTGCATAACTCAACAAGGGATGAGGATGCGGGACAAAACTAGCAGTCGGTTGGCTCTGCTGCCATCGGCCATGGTTGGTCTTGTCATTGGCTCTGGCTCCACCTAGTGTTGATCTCCTCCCTTTGCACCCCACTAGAGACAGTGTGGTGTAGTGGTTAGAGCGTCCAACTACAGGCCCTGGGAGACCAGAGTTTGAGTACTGGGCCATGAAGCTCGCTGGGTGACACTGGGCCAGTTGCTGCCTCTCAGCCTAAACTACCGTATTTTTTGCTCTATAAGACTCACTTTTTCCCTCCTAAAAAGTAAGGGGAAATGTGTGTGCGTCTTATGGAGCGAATGCAGGCTGCGCAGCTATCCCAGAAGCCAGAACAGCAAGAGGGATTGCTGCTTTCACTGCGCAGCGATCCCTCTTGCTGTTCTGGCTTCTGGGATTCAGAATATTTTTTTCCTTGTTTTCCTCCTCCAAAAACTAGGTGCGTCTTGTGGTCTGGTGCGTCTTATAGAGCGAAAAATACGGTACCTCGCAGGGTTGTTGGGTGGGGTAATCCATTGAGAAAGGGGAGAAGTGTGTGCACCATCAATCAATCATTAATAAATGCATAACCAATACGGGCACCAGGAATCGTTATTTATTTAATTTATCTCCAACCTCCCATCATCCCCAATTCCACTTCCACCCCACCTGCGCTCGCTGCTGCTGCTGCTGGGAATTGTAGTCCAAAAGATTTGAAGGGCTCAGATATGCAGATGACACAACTTTGATGGCAGAAAGTGAGGAGGAATTAAAGAACCTTTTAATGAGGGTGAAAGAGGAGAGTGCAAAATATGGTCTGAAGCTCAACATCAAAAAACTGAAGATCATGGCCACTGGTCCCATCACCTCCTGGCAAATAGAAGGGGAAGAAATGGAGGCAGTGAGAGATTTTACTTTCTTGGGCTCCATGATCACTGCAGATGGTGACAGCAGCCACAAAATTAAAAGACGCCTGCTTCTTGGGAGAAAGGCGATGGCAAATCTAGAAAGCATCTTAAGAAGCAGAGACATCACCTTGCCAACAAAGGTCCGTACAGTTAAAGCCATGGTTTCCCCAGTAGTGATGTATGGAAGTGAGAGCTGGACCATTAAGAAGGCTGATGGATGCTTTTGAATTCTGGTGCTGGAGGAGACTCTTGAGAGTCCCATGGACTGCAAGAAGATCAAACCTCTCCATTCTGAAGGAAATCAGCCCTGAGTGCTCACTGGAAGGACAGATCCTGAAGCTGAGGCTCCAAGACTTTGGCCACCTCATGAGAAGAGAAGACTCCCTGGAAAAGACCCTGATGTTGGGAAAGATGGAGGGCACAAGGAGAAGGGGACGACGGAGGATGAGATGGTCGGACAGTGTTCTCGAAGCTACTAGCATGAGTTTGACCAAACTGTGGGAGGCAGTGGAAGACAGGAGTGCCTGGCCTGCTCTGGTCCAGGGGGTCACGAAGAGTCGGACACAACTAAACGACTAAACTGCAACAACAAGGTTGGTTTGACCTGTTTGTGATCCATTATAAGTGCCCTTCCAGGTTCAAGAGAGGAATTGTAATATTAAATCAACCCATCATTCTACAGTATCGTGGATTAGACGGACCTTCAGTCTGCTCCATCCAGGCTTTCCTTACATTCTTTTGTTTAAAATCTCCCTAAATGTTTCCTTTGCAGCTTTCAGGCAGGGAATTAATAGGAAATGACAAAACGAAAGGTCCCACCGAGATTTGAACTCGGATCGCTGGATTCAGAGTCCAGAGTGCTAACCATTACACCATGGAACCTCGGCTTGTGGGACAGTCGAACGCTATTCGTTCTCTGCTCGTCGGAGAGGAAAGGCGGGGACTCCGCCGGCCAATGGCGTCGCGTCGTTCGGCTCCTGCTTTGCATTTCCAGCTCTTTCCTCGCACTCATTTTGTAGCAAGGCCCCATTCAGAGAACAAAAGAAAAGACTGGCGCGGGGCTGGCGAAGCTGATTGGCCGGGAGGGAAACTGAACGTTCCAACGCTTTGCACTCCCACGCCTTTCCTTTATGCTTCATTCTGTTGTTATTGTAAAGGGTGGTGTTAACCCTCTAGTTGCCGGCGCTTTTTAATTTCCCCCCTCCCCAACCCCAGATAGTTCAGCTTCGCTCCTCCATTTCCGCTGCCTCTTATCTCCCCGCCCCTTCTGTGCCCCCAAATCATCAGCCCCGCTTCCGAGGCGATCTACTCAGCGACAGCAGGGGAAAAAACCAAAAAACAGGTTTGTTCCAATGCTTTGTAACCATTACTGAAAATTTGCGGGAGGGCGGGTGATGGAAAGGGGAGACGAGGCGGGGGGAGGGAAAGAAGGGGCTTTGAACCCTAGTAGAACCAGGTTTTGTTTTGTTTTATTTTTTAAACCGTGTTGCCCCCAAAAAAGTCATTGCAATTACTATAGGAGGGTGATAATACTATTGATGATAAGTAGGACAGCTGCAAACAGTATCTGTAAATATAGCGCTTTGCAGTCTCCAAGGCCCTTCACAACACCCCTGTAAGGAAGGTCTGTATGATTGTTCCCTTGCGTTCAGGGCCGGATTTCGGTTTGATGAGGCCCTCAGCGACTGAAGGTAATGGGGCCCTTTATATGACCAGCTGTCCTTTGCCAACAACAAATTGTCACTGTTTTTTGTGTTGGAATACATGCTATATAGTAATTTATGGACCTAATAGGTACAACACAACACAAAACACCGTAGCTGTATGTAGGTTTTAATTTATTTGTTTTTAATCTTATATTTTGGAAATGTACATCCAGGTTTTTTTCTTTCATTTTTGGGGGGACCCCCAAGAGAATGGGGCCCTAAGCTACAGCTTGTTTAGCTTATACGTAAATCCCGCATTGCCTGCATTGCAGGTGGAGACCAGGGCCAAGAGGAGAGTGTCCATCCCCTGCAATGTTGTCAGGATGGCACCGTATATACAAAGAATAGAACATGGGTTCCCAAAATGGTCTGTAGGCCACCAGTGGTCCACGAGCTTCATTCCGATGGTCTATGGTGTGTCCGCATTAAATGATTGTATTTATTTTTAATTCCATTTTTATTGCTTCTCCTATTTCTCATATGGTATTTTATTGCGTCCTAATTTCAGGTTCTGGTGCAATAAAATAACGCTGTAAGAAATGAGAGAAGCATTAACTAGCAACGGGCATTACACCTTCCACAACAGACAGGAAAAATATTAAGTGGTCCCACCCAGACCCTCAACTAATTTTCAATAGGTCCATAAAGTTTGGTAACCACCATCCTAGAATGATGGAATTTCCAAGGGGCTTACAGGTTGTGTAAGATAATTTACCAGTGGCCAGGAGCAATTGCCTTACTCTCCAGTTTGTCATAAGCAAAAAGGCGCTGCCAATACCATACAGTTCTGCATAGGAACAAAGATTGCTCATATAGGTGAATCTTACCCTGTGTGTACCTACCTACAAGACTGTGAGGGGAAGCCAGAGGAGGGAGGTTATTAAACAATATGACATGGGGATGACAGCATTCCAAATGGGGCAACCAATCCGATCTTAAGGAACCTATGCATTCAAGAAAGAACTGTGTTAGGATAGCAATGGGGAGCCTCTAGATCAGGCACCCCCAACCTGCGACCCTCCAGTTGTTTTGGCCTACAACTCCCATGATCCCCAGCTAACAGGACCAGTGGTCAGGGATGATGGGAATTGTAGTCCAAAACATCTGGAGGGCCGAAGGTTGGGGATGCCTGCTGTAGATAACGTTGGACAACAACTTCCATCCCCTCAGCCAACATGGCCGGTGGCTGATGATAATGGGAGCTGGAGAGCCAGAGGTTCCCCACACCTCTGTTTGTGTAATAATAATAATAATAATAATAATAATAATAATAATTTATTATTTATTTATACCCCGCCCATATGGCTGGGCTTCCCCAGCCACTCTGGGCAGCTTCCAACAAAATATTAAAATATAGTAATGCATCAAACAAGGAAGCATTGGTGGTTCAGTGGTAGAATTCTCGCCTGCCACGCGGGAGGCCCGGGTTCGATTCCCGGCCAATGCAACTTGACTTTTGTGGGACGCAGGTGGTGCTGTGGGTTAAACCACAGAGCCTAGGACTTGCCAATCAGAAGGTCGGCAGTTCAAATCCCCGCGACGGGGTGAGCTCCCGTTGCTCAGTCCCTGCTCCTGCCAACCTAGCAGTTCAAAAGCACGTCAAAGTGCAAGTAGATAAATAGGTACCGCTCCGGCGGGAAGGTAAACGGCGTTTCCATGCGCTGCTCTGGTTCGCCAGAAGTGGCTTAGTCATGCTGGCCACATGACCCAGAAGCTGTACGTCGGCTCCCTTGGCCAATAAATCGAGATGAGCGCCGCAACCCCAGAGTCAGCCACGACTGGACCTAATGGTCAGGGGTCGCTTTACCTTTCCTTCATGCATCAAACATTAAAAGCTTCCCTAAATAGGGCTGCCTTCAGGTGTCTTCTAAAAGTCCGGTAGTTGTTTTTCTCTTTGACATCTGGTGGGAGGGCGTTCCACAGGGCGGGTGCCACCACGGAGAAGGCCCTCTGCCTGGTTCCCTGTAACTTGGCTTCTTGCAGCAAGGGAGCCGTCTTTGGCCATCCTGATGTTGACCAGAGGTGAGGATGAGGCTCCCATCCCTTTCATAAGGAAACCTCTGCTGGCCCAGGCCTTTGACCCACCTGGTCCAGCATTCTGTTCCCGCAGTGGCCAACCAGGTGCCCCAATGGGAAACCAACAAGCAGAATCCAAGCGCCAGAGCCCTCGCCCCTCCAGTTTCCAGCAACTGGGAAGCATGACTGTAGAGGCAGAGAGTAGCCACCCTGGCTAGTAGCCATCGATAGCCCTCTCCTCCTCTTGCCATTCACACAGAGAGAAGCTGCGCTTTCTGAAATCTTTTCTGCATGCAGTGTAAAGCCGGGGTAGTCAGCCTGTGGCCCTCCGGATGCTGCGGTCTCTAGCTCCCATCACTCCTAGCGAGCCTGGCGAACGGTCAGGCACGATGGGATTTGTAGTCCAGCAACCTCCGTACAGGAACCCTTAGATTTAAAGTACAGGGACCATCTCCTTTCCCCTGCCCCTCAAATTCTGATACTGCAGAGGAAGGAGGCTTTGTGATGGAACACACAGAGCAGGGGTAGGCAAACTAAGGCCCGGGGGCAGGATCCGGCCCAATCGCCTTCTCAATCCCGCCTGCGGACAGTCTGGGAATCAGCGTGTTTTTACATGAGTAGAATGTGTCCTTTTATTTAAAATGCATCTCTGGATTATTTGGAGGGCATAGGAATTTGTTCATTTTCTCTCTCTCCAAAATATAATAATAATAATAATAATAATAATAATAATAATAATAAATTTTTTATTTATATCCCGCCCTCCCCAGCTGAAGCCGGGCTCAGAGCGGCTAACAACAGTAAAATGATAAAACATTCTAAAATCATTTCATTATAAAATTAATTCCAATCAGATTAATGGCAACCAATTGGGCTAGAGTTCTGTGGGGATTGCCAAAGGAGGGAGTCAGGCTGTGCCCTTGCCAAAGGCCTGGTGGAACAGCTCTGTCTTGCAGGCCCTGCGGAAAGATGTCAAGTCCCGCAGGGCCCTAGTCTCTTGGGACAGAGCGTTCCACCAGATCGGGGCCACAGCTGAAAAAGCCCTGGCTCTGGTTGAGGCCAGCCTAACCTCTCTGTGGTCTGGGACCTTCAGGATGTTTTTATTTGAAGACCATAAGGTCCTCCGTGGGACATACCAGGAAAGGCGGTCCTGTAGGTACAAGGGTCCTAGGCCGTATAGGGCTTTGAAGGTTAAAACCAGCACCTTAAACCTGATCCTGTACTCCACCGGAATATAGTCCATTCCTCCACATGGTCTGAGGGACGGTGGACCGGCCCCCTGCTGAAAAAGTTTGCTGACCCCTGGCACAGAGGGACAGTTTTTCCTTACATCATTAGCTGGGAAAAACCCTCTCGAGCAAACAAACTCGTTTTTCCAACTGGAACTTTGACTTGTCCATCGACAAGCTATGCATCCAGCCTCCGCCCACAAGAGGGCGCAGAAACATCACTTACCGGTACATTTGGCCTCTGTTTTGCTTTTCTGTGTTTCTATTTCCTTTTTTTTCCCTCCCCGGGGCCCAGCTACATTCTGGTGGGCAGCCTTTTGGCACTGAGGATTGTGGGATCCTTCACGCAGGTCCAAGGGAGGGACTGGGGTTCCTCCTTATAACTGAGTACCTCTCTCTGTCCTTGCCAGAAATCTCTGTGTCTTTGTTGCCAAATCGGAAGCTGGTCTTTCGCCCTTCGCCCCTCGCCCCTCACCCACCCACCTTTCCCTCTCTCCTAATTTTAAGCATGGATTCCACCCAGAAAGAAGCCGCCATCTTGTGCGTGGTGCAGTCGGGCGCGCTGATGATGGAGTACCTGAGAGCCAGCGGAGAAGCATCGTCCGCAGCCGCTTCCCGGCGCCGGTGGGCGTTCCTGCACTCTCTGGGGCAGCGAGGGGGCGAGGAAGACGAGGAGGAAGAGTCGGAGGAGGAGGAGGAAGAAGAGGAAGAGGAGGAAGGAGGAGAGGAAGAGGTCTTGCTGCCCCGGCAAGCCGCCAGCGCCGGGTTGCGCCGCGGTGGCCGCCTCCGTTCAGTGGAAAGGCGTTTCTGGGCCCGACCACGAAGCACCGAGTGGTGGGACCACACGGTCCTGCAGACGTGGGACGACAGCCAGTGGCTGCAGAACTTCCGCATGCGCAAGGCGACCTTCCTGGAGCTGTGCGCCCGCCTCTCGCCCGCCCTGCAGCGCCAGAAGACGCGGATGCGGGTGCCGCTGAGCGTGGAGAAGAGGGTGGCCATCGCCCTGTGGAAGCTGGCCACCTCTGTCTGCTACCGCGACGTGGGGAACCAGTTTGGCGTGGGCCGGTCCACCGCTGGCTCGGTGGTGCTGGAAGTGTGCCGCGCCATCCAGAGGGTTTTGATGCGCGCCACGGTGACCGTGGGCGGCAGCCTGGCGGCCATCATGGCCGGGTTTGAGGAGATGGGCTTCCCCAACTGCGCCGGCGTGGTGGGCACCACACACATGCCCATCCTGTGCCCACCGCACCAGGCAGTGGAGTACGTCAACTCCAAGGGGTACTATTCCATGGCCCTGCAAGCACTGGTGGACCACCAGGGCAAGTTCACCCACCTAAGTGCCGGCTGGCCGGGGAAGACGCACGAAGCGAAGATCTTCAACAAGTCCACCTTGTTCAGCAAAGGCCAGGAAGGAACCCTCTTTGCCCTGGGCCCCACGGACATCAACGGGGTCTCTGTGCCCAGGGTCATCCTGGGCGGACCGGCCTACCCTCTCCTCCCATGGCTGATGGTGCCCTACACAGAAGACCTGGACGGCGCCAAGGAGGCCTTCAACGCCACCTTGAGCCGGTGCCAGGAGCCCTTGGAGGAGGCCTTCAGCCGGCTGAAGGGCCGTTGGCGGTGCCTGACGGGCCGCAATGACTGCGCGGTGGAAAACCTGCCCCGCCTCATCTCGGCCTGCTGCGTCCTGCACAACATCTGCGAGGAGAAAGGCGAGGCCTACGAGGAGACGTGGGAGGCTGAGGCCAAGCAACTGGCTGCCACCTTTGAGCAGCCGCTTCAGAGACCAGACACCCGCATCAAGCCGGCGGCCAGGTCCGAGAGGGTCCGAGACGCCCTCTGCGCCTACATTGCCAGCACGGCGTAAAGGGGGAATGTGAGAACGTTCTGGCAGCCATTTTGAGGGGCGAAAGGAATCTCCGCTCCTGAGGCCTACGAAGGTCTCCATCCTTGGCCCGGCCACCTGGGACGAAGCCCGATTGGACCCAGCTTCTGAGAAGACATGTATAGGGTTGCTTAGAGAGCTGATTTTAGCATAAAATGTGAGAGAGGTTTGGGTGAGGTTGACTTTCCTCCCTTGATAGCCATGTGGGGGAAATTAGTTTTCTGAAAGCTTGCCCACCAGGGATGAAGTCACCGTTTGCCACCTCCTGAAAACATTACTTGTGTGGCAAAGGTTCACCCCCAGATGCACAGTTAACTGATGACCAGGTTGCATTTTATAGGCTCTTTGTTCCTCTGGGAAAGGTGGTAATTCCTCTGCCGCCAGAAAGGTTGGGTGAACTGGTTCTTTGGGGGTTCCTCTGTAGAAATAGCAAACCCCATGGAGACCAAAATGTTGACGTCTCCAGAGAAAACAACAACCCATGTGGTGTGGATTTGACGTTCCAGGAGCTCAGTTTTCAGTCCCAAATGGTGCGGGGAGCCTGTCGCGCTCCAAATGGTCCTGGACTACAACTCCCATCATCCCTGACCATCAGACACGTTGGTGGGTGGCTGATGGGATATGGAGTCCAACAATATCTGCAGAGCTGCAGGTTCACCCTTGTGTGTATGTGGGTCCATTTCTGATTCCATGTTGTGTTGCTCATGCAGCTGTTTTTGTGTTTCCCTCTCTTCCTCCTGGAAAGGGGAGTCCCCAGAGCTCTCGCCAATACACTGTGTGGTATTTTGCTCGCCTAGAGTCCCTAGCCACTCGCCCTAGGAGAGCAGGGAAATGGAAAATCACAAGGCTGATGCTGTCGTCTGGGACAGGTGCGATTCCTCCTAAAAGAGGGAGTGGACCGGGTCTGTATCCCACATAAACACACCTTTTCTTTTCTAGGGTCTTCCTGAATTAGGATTCTGTCAGAATAGCAGCCCTTACAGGAACGTTTGCGCTTTGATATATGTGTGGGTAGTTGCAGTTACGTTGTCGTTATTATTATTATTATTATTATTATTATTATTAAAGATGCAAAATGGCTTTCTGGATTTACCGCTTCTTCTTGCAGGAATTGTAGAGGCAGGATACCGTTTTACCAGTTTACAAAGAGGAAGGTGGGGATTATTTCTGCCCCTTTTGCCACCACCCGACTTTCCCAATCTCCCTCTCTCCAGGACAGTAGATAAGAAACAGTCGTCAAATCCCATTAGCATTAGATTTGTAGGACTAGCTTGTCCTTTACACCCACAAGAGCTCTGGCCGTGAATTTCTTCACTCTGCTGGCTGACACTCCCCTTCCAGGTGGGATTAAACTGTTCCAATTCCTGTCTCCCTTTTCCCCACATCTGTTGTAAACAAAATCTGACCTTTTTCCCTTATGGGGTATCCAAGAGCCCATATAGAGTCCTTACAGTGGTGCCCCGCAAGACGAATGCCTCGCAAGACGAAAAACTCGCTAGACGAAAGGGTTTTGCGTTTTTTGAGTCGTTCCGCAAGACGAATTTCCCTATGGGCTTGCTTCGCAAGATGAAACCGTCTTGCAGTTCTGCAGTTTGTTTCCTTTTTCTTTAAGCCGCTAAGCCGTTAATAGCCGCTAAGCCGTTAATAGCTGCTAATAGCCGCTAAGCCACTAATAGCCGTGCTTCGCAAGACGAAAAAACCGCAAGACGAAGAGACTCGCGGAACAGATTAATTTCGTCTTGCGAGGCACCACTGTACATAGGTTCCCTATTGGTAGGAGAGAATAACAGAGGCCGACCAGAGAATACTGAGAAGCAAAGCAGCTAGTAAGCCTGATCTTTATTAAAATGTTGCAACAGGGTCTTCCCCCACGATAAGAAGAATGGAATCCATTATCTCTATCACACACACCCGCCCAGTTGATTTAATTCACACAGCATGTGCCAAGTGTGCGAGAGGGAGATGTGTGTTTGCAAAAACACACACGGCTCCTCTGTGCTAAACGCCCTACTCCAAAGCTTCACACTTAGGTGCCGACAGCTGAGAAGGTTTACCTCCCTCTGGACTATAAGGAGGAGGGGATCAGGATCCGAACCCAGGACTTAACCCCCTTCCAGCCATCACAGCTATATTTTCTTAGTAGGGATTTCTCCCAGAGTGGATCCCCTCGTGTACAAATCCTCTGGCAACCGTCGGTCCCCTTTACCTTTGCGGGAAAGCGCATGATGTGCAAGTTGTTAATAATAATAAAAAATGTAAATTAAGCTGTGGTAGTTCGTTCTTCTTGATTTATTTCAGGCTCTGATCGCATTGCTAGTGGTGCGGTCGTCAGTAGGTGGTTACAGATCCACAATCTGGATTCAAAACAGGTCTGGGGTTTGCACGATGCGCCGGGTGGGGGGTGGAAAGAGGTGACAGGAATTCAAGAAGGCTAAAGGATATTGGGAAATGATATATAATGAATTGGAAAAAATGTTGGAAAAACCCCTTTGTTAAAAAACCAGAATCTTTCCTGCTCGGAATTTTGGATCATGAGAGGGAAATGGGAGGTTGTTTATGTATGCAACAACAGCAGCAAGAATCTTTTTAGCACAAGTATGGAAAACAGAAAAAACACCAACAAAGGAAAAATGGCAAGCCAAGCTTATGGACTATGCGGAACTGGCTAAGCTGACAGGATACATGAGAGAGACAACATCGATTTCAAAAAAGGAGTGGGAACCATTTATAAACTATAAAAAGGCAGTATAAAGATTTGGACCCATTGGCAGGTTTTCACTAAACTTTCACAACTATATAAGAGGTAAAATCAGCAGGGTACAGAATTTGTTTAATAAATCAGTACGGAAATACGGGGGAAGCCAAAGAGAGGGGAGGGGAGAAATATGGATATATACTGCACCACTCAATTCCCTTTCTCCAGTTTAGAAGATTCATCCAGGGGGAATCTGCACATATACTGTATTTTTCACTCTATAAGACGCACCAGACCACAAGACACACCTAGTTTTTGGAGGAGGAAAACAAGAAAAAAAATATTCTGAATCTCAGAAGCCAGAACAGCAAGAGGGATCACTGCGCAGTGAAAGCAGCAATCCCTCTTGCTGTTCTGGCTTCTGGGATAGCTGCGCAGCCTGCATTCGCTCCATAAGACGCACACATATTTCCCCTTACTTTTTAGGAGGGAAAAAGTGAGTCTTATAAAGCAAAAAATACGGTAAATTGTTCAATTAAGATTTGTGGGAAATTTGTTGTTATAATTTGAAAATTCAATGGCTATGTTTCTTGGAAGTTTGGGCGCAAGTCGGCTTGCAGAAGAGATGTTTGCATGCGGTTATGATAAATAGTGTGAGGGCCATCCACATTCCCTGCAGCTTTAACTCAGTGGCTCTCAAGCTTTTTTCTCGGGGCCACACTTTCTGAATAAAAATTTGCTCACGCCACACTGAATTTTCTACTGATCTGTTGGGAAACGAGAAGAAGCAACAACCAGCAGCTGTGCTTGATTTATAACAGAACACAACTGCTTTATGATACGATTGTGGGACATCCAGGAAGTATTAAAAAATTCACCTACATAGCAACATGCAGTGCTTTTTTTCTAAAAAAATGTTTACAGGTACTCTCATTTTCCTACGCATATTGAAATGCTGCCCATCAATAATAATAATAACAATAATAATAAAAATAATTTTTATTTATACCCCGCCCTCCCCAGCCAAGGCCGGGCTCAGGGCAGCGAACAACTGATATAAAAACAAATTGAACGAATGCAACTTAAAAACAAGATTAAAATACAACAATTAAAATATTGAAACATTAAAATATTAAAATGCAGCCTCATCACAGGAGGAGAAAGGAAAAGAAAAAAGAAGAGGGGGAGGGAATCAAATTGGCTCCAAGCCAAAGGCCAGGTGGAACAACTCTGTCTTACAGGCCCTGCGGAAAGAAATCAGATCCTGCAGGGCCCTGGTCTCATGAGGCAGAGCGTTCCACCAGGCCGGGGCCAGTGTTGAAAAGGCCCTGGCTCTGGTTGAGGCTAATCTAACTGCCTTAGGGCCCGGGACATCTAGGGTGTTGCTATTTATGGACCTTAAGGTCCTCTGTGGGGCATACCGGGAAAGGCAGTCCTGTAGGTACAAGGGTCCTAGGCCGTGAAGGGTTTTAAAGGTCAAAACCAGCACCTTAAACCTGACCCCATACTCCACCGGGAGCCAGTGCAACTGGTAAAGCACTGGGTGAATATGCTCCCATGGCAGGGACCCCGTGAGGAGCCGCACTGCAGCATTCTGCACCCGCTGGAGTTTCAGGGACAGCTTCAAGGGCAGCCCCACGTAGAGCGAATTGCAGTAGTCAAGCCTGGAGGTGACCGTTGCATGGATCACTGTGGCCAGGTCAGGGCGGGAAAGGTAATGTGGCCCAACTTAGATTCACAAAATGTTTAGGGGTATGTGTACCCCTGTGTCCCCCTAGAAAAAAGCACTGGCAATGTGAATCATTCCCAAAATATAATTATGGACGAGCCTATTACACATGCTCCTTAAGTATGCATATAAACTCAGTGAGAGGTGTGAGCTTGCTTTTGCCAAGTAATCTCATTTATATTAGGTCTAATTTGAGACACTCATTTCCTCATCCACACAAAGAAGCCATTCTCTTTTCTGGTCTTAATACTAAAGGGACACCTGACCGGTCCAGCCGCGGACGACTCTGGGGTTGTGGCACTCATCTCGCTTTAGAGGCTGAGAGAGCCGATGTTTGTCCGCTTCCACAGACAGTTTTTCCGGGTCATGTGGCCAGCAGGACTAAGCCGCTTCTGGCGAACCAGAGCAGCACACGGAAACGCCGTTTACCTTCCCACTGGAGTGGTACCTATTTATCTACTTGCACTGGTGTGCTTTCGAACTGCTAGGTTGGCAGGAGCCGGGACCGAGCAACGGGAGCTCACCCCGTCGCGGGGATTTGAACCGCCAACCTTCCAATCGGCAAGCCCTAGGCTCTGTGGTTTAGACCATAGCGCCACCCGTGTCCCTGATCGTAATACTATACTGCACTAAATGTTTAAATGTTGCTTTGATTGTCAGTGGCTCTTCCTGCCACACTTGCTACACCCTTTGAGAACCACGGCTTCAACCAATCAGCTAACACTTGTATCTCTCTGATGTGTAGACTGATATTCTCAGGTTGTGGTTTTAACCATCCAGGGGTCAGAATAGAAGTGGAATTTTTTTAATATTATTTTTTGCCCTGCCCTTTTAGTGACATTTCAGTGATTTCTTTATAACGTTTCTGGGTCACTTCTAAGCTTGGCGTAATGCAAATATACAGTCACACACATATTGAACGTGCATAATTTTTTTTGCGGGGGTGAGGCTGCCTGTATTATGAGGGAGAGACTCTGGGTGAAGTAGTCCTCTCCATCACACTACAGTGGTACCTCAGGTTAAGTACTTAATTCGTTCTGGAGGTCCATTCTTAACCTGAAATTGTTCTTAACCTGAAGCACCACTTTAGCTAATGGGGCCTCCTGCTGCTGCCGCGCTGCCGGAGCCCGATTTCTGTTCTCATCCTGAAGCAAAGTTCTTAACCTGAAGCACTATTTCTGGGTTAGCAGAGTCTGCAACCTGAAGCGTACATAACCCGAGGTACCACTGTACTTCACCAAAAGTACCCTTTAAAAAAAGCACGCAAAAATGATTCAGACATAAATACTTCTTGTTATACAGTTATTGATACGTATGTGTCTTCCTTTCCATGGGGGAGGAAATGTATGTCTTGAAATTTTTCTGGAGAACCTTAGAAAGGAATGAGTCCCACTACATATTTTTAAAGGAAATACATTTTTATTACATGGTGCATATAGATTTCAACACAAGGAACTATTTAAACAAGCAACCAAAAACATCCCAATACAAGCCATAACTGGGGGTGGGGTGGGAAATATTATTTATAATAATAATACCTGAAAGTTTGGAGAAAAAGAAAAAAAAAGAAATTAAAGATATTTTTTAAACGAACCTAAATGGGGGGAAATTACTCGTTTTGATTTCAAACAGGCATGTCATGAAACGTTTGCAAATGACACCGGTTTGGTAATCCAAGCGCACACTCAGCCACTCGCACACACATCCAAAAGCAAACAAATCTTAAAATTCTACAGGAGACGGGTGTTTATGCAGGTATGTGAAAATCAGATTTCTGGCATATTACATTCAGAGACAATCCGTTCCAATCCACAGACCCTAACAGGGTGCAAACAGGGCTGAAAAACCTGTGTCACGAGTCCCAGGTAGTGGGGCATGTGGTCTTGGGGGTGATGGGAATTGGGGGGTCCTGGAAGACCCCCAGTTTCCCATTCATTCTGTACAAGCACCCTGCTTGGGCCACAATCATTTGCCACAAGACATCTTACCTACGCAAGACAGCAATGTCTTACCTGTGCAAGACCAGGATACTGAGAATTGAGCAAAGCAGCCGATCGGCTCCTTTTGGGTCTTACCCGTCGGGTCGCAACTTGCAAAAGACTTTCCTTAAACAGGCTCTTCCGCTTTTGCAGTTCAGCACCAGAGCTGGGAGAAATCTGATGGGAGCCCCAACTTTTTCCCCACCCACCGCAGAGCATCTCAGTGGTAGGAAAGGTTGCAGCCCTCAGACCACTCTTCACTTACCTGCAAAGTCCTCTTGGGAGTCCCAATTTGCAAACCGCTGGTTGAGGGTAAAAACAACAAAAAAACACACACAAAAATGACCCTCTGGGTCCCTTCCAACTATGAAACCTCATTTCTAGATGTGTAAATGCTAGCAGAGTGGCTAGGTGAAGGCCCAAGCTAAGAAACCATCTCCCTTTCTCAGAGGAGAGCGCTACATTTGAGGCAGTAAGGTGACGTCTCCATCCCCTCGTAAAGTCACCCGGCAGTGTGATCCCATCACAAAGGTTTTATTAGATATATATATATATATATATATATTTACATACATAAATGTTTGGGGTGGGGGTTGGGGGGCAGGAGTGTTTGTGCTCTAGGGCCATGGCCTCCAGAAAGCCGACGGAGGTGCCAGGATCCTCTTGGCTGAGGCGGCGGCGTCTCGGCTGTGTCTCTGTTGGCCCGCGCTGGAGCAAGCGGGGTCTGGGCTCCGTGAGGATTCGCTCAGCGGCTTCACGGGTGAGCAGAAGCCCTCGGGGGTCCGGGGAGGCGATTCCTCCAGCGAAGGGCTAGGAGAGAAGACGGCGAGGGTCCAGTCTTGGCTCTGGGGCTCCGGCTTGGAGGCCAGGTAGAGGTGCAAAGTGTCCAGCAGGTGGCTTTGGACGGACGGGTGGGTTTGCTGGATGAAGGCGGCTAGGCCCAGGAGACACTCCCGGAAGCCCATCATATAGCAGGTCTGGAGGGTCCCGTCTTCCGAAGGGTCGGCTCCTGGAGGGGCAGAATTGGGGAGCCAGGGAGAAGGCTGGTCACTCAAGCCCTAGGGAGGTGGGCCTCCACAGCCTAGCAGGGAGTCGGACCAGATCTCAACTCTGCAAGGCTGTGGCTCTAGAGTCCATAGAACCAGGGGATGCTCAGCGTGGGATGGAACCTAAGCAGTCAAATCCAACACTTCCTGTTTGCCTAGAGTGGACGCAGACAGGGGGACGTTACTCCAGCCAGGAGGACTTCCTGTCACACCTGGTCTGGAGCATCCTCACCCTGCTAGGTAGATGGGCGTGGCCCCGGGAGACCCCGTAAAAGGGCCAGACACGCAGCCACCTTGCTCTTTCGCTGCTCACTTCTGATACTGGTGTTATTTTGCTGTCTGCTGGCCCTCAGCCATCAGTACATGGGCTCATTCCCATTTGGGATGACCTCAAACTCTCTTCTGTAACTCCAAGCTAAAGCCTGCCTTCAGGGAACCTACTGCGAGCTGAATGTGAGTAAGCTTCTTGTCGTTGCTTTTCAAAGAAGGCGTTTGCGCCTTTATTCTTTTCGAGAGGGGATAAAAGGGGAATTTGCCAGGAACAAACCCAATCTGGACAAAGCCAGATTGGACTGCTTAAAGGTAAAGGTAAAGGGACCCCTGACCATTAGGTCCAGTCGCGGATGACTCTGGGGTTGCGGTGCTCATCTCACTTTATTGGCCGAGGGAGCCGGCATGCAGCTTCCGGGTCATGTGGCCAGCATGACTAAGCCGCTTCTGGCGAACCAGAGCAGCGCACGGAAATGCCGTTTACCTTCCCGCCGGAGTGGTACCTATTTATCTACTTGCACTTTGATGTGCTTTCGAACTGCTAGGTTGGCAGGAGCAGGGACCGAGCAACAGGAGCTCACCCGTGGCGGGGATTCAAACCGCTGACCTTCTGATCAGCAAGTCCTAGGCTCAGTGGTTTAACCCACAGTGCCACCCGCGTCCCTCTTAAGTAAAGAGATTCAAATGAATCAACCAACTAGCTTTGTGCTATATACTGGGGAATGTACTCTGCTACTAACTCACTAGTGTGAGTGAGGAAGGATAATATTTAATCAATATGTCCTCTCCTACTATCTGCAACATTCAAAACACTCAGGAGGTGGTTGCAGCCGTCTGGGCTCCCCACCTGGCCCATGGGACTCTTAAGCTCCTCCCTCCCCCAGGCCACACCCATCTCTGTCCCTCCCTGAGCATTCTTGTCTGGATGGAGGGTGGGTGTGGAAATTTCTGGCTTTGGCAAGGTGAGTATGGGGACTCCCCATGCATTGAAGAACAGGGAGCAAAGCATTTGAGCAACTCACAAACACTCACAGACCTGGCCTGCCCAGGTCTCTCTGATATAGCCACATACACCCCCCCAACACCCACCATGCAGGTCATTTGTACCCTGGGGTTTAGCTGCGTTCATCTCCCGCAGGTATCCTACAGCAATCTCCAAGATCTCTGCTTTCTCCACCTTGGGGTTCTTCAGAGTCTGTAAAGAAAGAGGCCCGAGAAGAAGGGGGCTGAAGGGGAAACTTTTGCAGGGAATAGGCAGTGGCTGGGGGGCAGAACAACGGATCCGCGTGCTGACAGTCCCGGGTTCAGCTATCGGCAGGTCTAGGGAGCATAGCTGTCAACTTACAGATTTGAAAATAAGGGACCAGCAGCCAAAATAAGGGATTTTCCGAGCACAGGTATGTTCAACTTCTGAGCCCCTCCGAGCCAAAGGCAGAAAGCCCAGCCAGCAGCCAAACGAAGCCTCAAGCGGTGGTTCCCACAGTGCAGCAACCCGGCAAAGGGGATGCAGCAAGGAAAACCACCGTCACCTCTCCGCTGGGAAGCGCTGAGCAAAGGCGAGTCCCCAGGCAACGCGGTCGATTTGATCGGCACAAGGCATGCAAGCTCCACCCCCCAGTCGTTCTTAGACTCCTTAGGGAGCCAGCAGGGAGGGAGGGAGAGGAGCTGCTTCCTTTGAAACCCGGGCAATTTAAGGGACATCATCAATAAGGGACAGCAGCGGGACACGGCACTGGGATAAGGGACTTTCCCGCCAAATAAGGGACGGTTGACAGCTATGCTAGGGAGGGCTGGGACTGCGAAGGACACCTCCCACGTGCAGATCCTTCTCGCCTTGCCGACCCCCCACCCTGCCCAGGATCCACTGCTGCTAACCAACAACAGAGATTTTGCAAATCACTGCGCAAGTGCCAACTTACTCTTGGGGAACATGGACAGGATAGACAAGACAGGCATAACGGTAGAGAATACCTGATCAAGTCTCCGGGGCCACCTATTTCTCTGCCAATTCCTTTTAACCAAAGCCTTCCTTTTAGAGCAGAGTCATATAGAACAATAGCTCCACCTGCTGGCAGTTGAAGAAATAAACGCACAATCCACTTCAATGCACTTTAAGGGGGTTCAATTAACGCTAAGGCCTCCTCGGGAAATCTGAAGGCCACAAAGTTGACGCAGACCCACGGGTCTGACACTATCCCAAACGGCAGCGGTTACGTTCTCAGGGAGAAGTCCTAGCTAGGATTTGAAGGGAATGGGGAGTGGGGGGGGGGGCTGTGGGGAGCAGGGGGGGCAGGCTGGCTGCAGGGGGCACCTCCTCACTGACCTGGCTGTGGGTCCTCTGCAGGAGCAGCAGGCGCAGTTCCTCCAGGCTCCGATTGATGCGGTCGCGGCGACGCTTCTCCGCCAGGGGCTTCAGCATCTGAATAGACAAACAATTGGGGGGGTTGACCCCTGGGTGGGGTGGGCAGCCGCTTTGATAGATAGGCACTGATACACTCCATTGCAGAGCAGGATCCTCCCTTTCCCATGAAGAGGTTGTGCCAAGAAGTTCCTTAGTTCTCCAAATGTACCCATCAACTACCCCACCAAAAAAAAGGGTTGGGGGTAGTGAAGACAACACAGAGTTGAATGGGGCCAATGGTCACCTTGCTCCTTGTCAGCCCCCTCTCCTCCCCTCACCCCCCCCCCCATTTTGGATGCTACAATGCCCCCTCTCTCTATTCCACTCCTTATCCTACCAGGCAGGCAAATTTTCTAGGTTGGATGGAGCCAGGGCCGGATCTAGGTTTGATGAGGCCATAAGCTACTGAAGGTAATGGGGCCCTTTCTATGTCCAGCTGTCCTTTGTCAACAAGAAATTGTCACTGTTTTGTGTGTTGACTATATGCTCTAAGATCATTTATGGGCCTAATAGATATATAAAGAGATGCGGGTGGCGCTGTGGGTTAAACCACAGAGCCTAGGACTTGCCGATCAGAAGGTCGGCGGTTTGAATTCCCACGACGGGGTGAGCTCCCGTTGCTCGGTCCCTGCTCCTGCCAACCTAGCAGTTCGAAAGCACGTCAAAGTGCAAGTAGATAAATAGGTACCGCTCAGGTGGGAAGGTAAACAGCATTTCCGTGCGCTGCTCTGGTTCGCCAGAAGCGGCCTAGTCTTGCTGGCCACATGACCCGGAAGCTGTACGCCGGCTCCCTCGGCCAGTAAAGCGAGATGAGTGCCGCAACCCCAGAGTCGGCCACGACTGGACCTAATGGTCAGGGATCCCTTTACCTTTACCTAGATATCTAAAGCCATTTCCCCATGCTGCCATGCAACCAGTCCATGCAGAATGTAGGCACCCTATATATAGAAAGGAGCAAACCAGTGATATTTTAGGGGGCAGGCTAGCAGGGGGCCCCTATTAACACAAAACACTGTTGCTGTATGTAGGGTTTATTTGTTTTGTATCTTATATTTTGGAAATGTACCTCCAGTTTTTCCCCCCTTTGAATTTTTTGGGGGCTCCCAAGAGAGTGGGGCCCTAAGCTATAGCTTGTTTAGCTTATATGTAAATCTGGCACTGGATGAAGCGAGTCTGTAGTCCCCCGTCCCCCCGCAGGCACGGCAGTAGGTAGCACTTTTGCTGCCCCCTAGAGGGATGCGGGTGATGCTGTGGGTTAAACCATAGAGCCTAGGACTTGCTGATCAGAAGGTCGGCGGTTCGAATCCCAGCAACGGGGTGAGCTCCCGTTGCTTGGTCGCTGCTCCTGCCAACCTGGCAGTTCGAAAGCACGTCAAAGTGCAAGTAGATAAATAGGTACCGCTCTGGCGGTAAGGCAAACGGCGTTTCTGTGCGCTGCTCTGGTTCGCCAGAAGAGGCTTAGTCCTGCTGGCCACATGACCTGGAAGCTGTACGCTGGCTCCCTCGGCCAGTAAAGCGAGATGAGCGCCGCAACCCCAGAGTCGGTCACGACTGGACCTAATGGTCAGGGGTCCCTTTACCTTTACCTAGAAGCAGCGAGGCAAATAGCTGGGGGGGGGGGGTGCTATTTTTTCTGGGATGAACGGCCCTTCATTTCACAATAAAAATGGGAACCAAACCCTGTAACCTCGACATTAACATCAGGCTGCGATCTCAGGCCTGCTTTCTTGGAAAGGTTTCTGTCAAAATCCACATAGCTCTGTTCTTCTTGGCGCCTGCTTTGGGTTTAAGCAAGCCTGACCGGTTAGGTAGAATTTCGACATGCCTGTTTTCATCTGTTTTGGTTTTTTTTGTTTAAGTTCATTGCCAATTTAAAATTCTTGAATACTTTAAATAGTTGTTCTCACCCATAATTGTCATAGCTGTCAACTTTTCCCTTTTCTTGCGAGGAATCCTATTCGGAATAAGGGAATTTCCCTTTAAAAAAGGGAAACGTTGACAGCTATGATAATTGTACAGTGGTACCTCGGGTTAAGTACTTAATTCGTTCCGGAGGTCCGTTCTTAACCTGAAACTGTTCTTAACCTGAAGCACCACTTTAGCCAATGGGGCCTCCCGCTGCTGCCGGAGCCCGATTTCTGTTCTCATCCTGAAGCAAAGTTCTTAACCTGAAGCACTATTTCTGGGTTAGCGGAGTCTGTAACCTGAAGCGTATGTAACCCGAGGTACCACTGTATTGTTTTATTCCAGCTGCAAACCACCTTGAGGTGGGTTTGTTTGTTTGCCTGTATTTCAATGAAGCAGTGTATAAATTTTATGAAATGAAATACAGTGGTACCTCGGGTTACATACGCTTCAGGTTACAGATGCCGCTAACCCAGAAATAGTGCATCAGGTTAAGAACTTTGCTTCAGGATGAGAACAGAAATCGGGCTCCGGCAGCAGCGGGAGGCCCCATTAGCTAAAGTGGTGCTTCAGGTTAAGAACAGTTTCAGGTTAAGTATGGACTTCCGGAACCAATTAAGTACTTAACCCGAGGTACCACTGTAAAACGTGTCGAGCATCGGAGCATTAATATGAAACCCGTTGTTCTTTATCTAATGTGGGGGCAAAATTAAAACGCATCGGCGGCTTCCTTGATATTCTGCCCATCACAGCTGCCTCCTGCCCAGGTCAGGCATCTTCTGCAAAAACCACTAGATAAGGAGCACACTTTCTCCTTCAGCTGAGACCTCCCCGATCCTACATGAAAACCGCCCCCTTCCCAAATGCCCAGGAAGCAATTCCCATAAAGCCCCCTCCCTCCCGCTTCCCCTGGTAAAATGGGAGGGGCCTGGAGCAGCCAGGACTTTTTTCTGCCTGGAAGAATTTGCAACTTCTTGGCTTGTTGCAAAATCGCTTTCCTCGCCCCACCCTTTCAATTCAACCAGCCCCAAACTGCATCCCATCAGATCGAAAACCCGCCAGGCCTTTAGCGACAGCATTAAGAAAAGTTTGCCATATTGCGCGTGAAATTATTTCGCCCGGTTAAAAGAAAACAAAAGAGCATCATCCTCATTTTGCAGGTCCTTCCCAGAATTCTGCAGCTCCTTTTGGCACAACCACCCAACAGGCAAAAAAAAAATATTACCCCCCCTCCTCCAGTATATACACACGTTACTTTGTTTCAGAGCATCACGTGTTGGCGTTGTTGTTTGTTAATTATTGCGATGACCGTCTGTATGTTTTCCGTAGCTAATACCGGCACTTTCACCGCGGACTCAGCGCCCTGGCACAAGATATAAGCTCCTGAGGGTTGCAGCGAAAGTTAGTCCTACTCAAGAGTATACCCATTGGAAATTAAGGGCACGGCGAGCTTAGCTCCATTCAGTGGGTCTACTCCCTGTGTGTGTACAGTATTGTGACGCACCCGTGCAAGAAGAAAGGGGGAGAGTGGTCTGCGCTGCTGCAAAACTGATATAATCATTCATTCATTTATTCTATTCCGCCCCGCCGCCCCCAGGAAACGCCAGCAACAAAACAACAGAAATTCAAAACATTACAAGACAAACATTTAAAGACAATCAAATCTCACAGCTCAATAAATTCATGGTGGCCAAGATCAAAACCTCAGCCGAGTGCCTGGATGGAAAGGGATTTATTTATTTTTAATCCTCTCCAAAAAAAGTCCACCAAGCGGAGCCAGGCGCCCCCCAGGGAAGGGCAGAGGGCGAGTTCTTCCTTCAGGGGGGTAGCCAAGGCGCAAGTGTGGGGTTCCACGGCTCCTATCACCCCCGATCCCGAACGCCGTCCCCTCCCCTCCCCTGATCCGCGCGCAGCCCTTGCGCAAGAGATGCGCCCAGGAGGGCGCGCGCCATCTCCGCACACCTCCCTCCAGAAAAGACCACACAGAGCAAGCCAGCGCACTTCTGTGGCTAAGGAGCCAGTCCTCTCTTTCCGGGGTGGGGAAGATCTGCGTCCCCCCCCCCATCCCCGGGTAATTCCCGGAGTGTGGCCAATGGCCAGGGCTGGTGGGAGCCGGCGGGGATGGCGGTGTGTAGGCGAGGAGCTGGGTTCAAATTCTCCCACTCAGCCGCCGGGTGGCCCTGGGCCGGTGGCACCCGGTCAGCCCAACCTACCTCGCGGGGTTCTTGTAGGGCAAAATGGAGAGGACCACATTGAGCTCCTTGAAGGATGGATGGATAGATAGATAGATGATAGATGATAGATAGATAGATGATAGATAGATGATTGATTGATGATTGATAGATAGATAGATGATTGATAGATAGATAGATAGATCCACTTTCTCTGGGTCACTCCTCCATACACACCCACCCTCTTAGCTGTCTACGCTGAGCCCCCCCCCAAAAAACCCCTGCCCCCCACTTTCCTTCCCCTGATGCAGCCCATATACCTTTCTCACCCCTCCTGGCTCAGAGCTCTCCGTAGTCACCATCGCCTCCGGGCTCTCTCCTGGCAAGCCTGCCTTTCCCCCCGGGGACGATGGTCAAAGTGAGCCAGCCCCCCTGCGACCCCCGCCCTCCTTTCCCTCCTCCTCCTCCTTTAATGACCCTTCAGGCGCAGCCCACATCTGGGGGCGCGGGGGAGTGAGTTTGGCTCCGTTCCTTTCAGCAGCACGCGCGCGCCCGCGCGCGCACACACTCCATGGGTGTGAAATGGGGGTGGGGGTGGGACGGGACACCCAAATGTTAAAACTTTCACAAGCAGTCAGTACCTCCTTCCCCCAAAGTACTGGAAGGGATCATCATCAGATTGGCTTGGCTTGGCTCAGAGTGGGTTGCAATAATTTGCATGTCAACTTTTTTCTTTTAAATTAAATTATACTTTTCAACTTTATACACTTCACTAATTTTACAATCATTTGGACATTTCAAAACTTGACTTTCTTCCCCCTCTTTCTACAGCTCCTTAAATTTATTGTTAATATATTCTGCATATCCAAATTAACTTAATTTGCTTTTATTCATCTTCTTTAAATATATACTCCTGTGAAACTGCAGGTTATTACAATAATC